TTTAGGGTTTAGGGTTTAGTAGTGGGATAGATTTTGGGGGTTATGTTCGACGATACCTATACAGGCACTCTAAGCTCTGCGAGGACACTCGTTCTGGTGAGGTTTATATAAGTAACAAGTAGGGTAGCTGGAGTGATAGACCTTATTGGGGCACTTTTAAGCCGCACCTATAACTACTCAGTAACTACTCATGAACCTCCAAGTAGAGGATGCGATGAACGAACGCATATACGGAACTCAGACCAAGCACTTCGACAGATCGAACGGCTGCATCAGGAATACAGCAAGAGAGGAGGAGGAAGCAGAGCGGTCTAGCACATATCTAGTGATCAGATTGCTGGAGGCATTCTCAAGTCAATCCCTGAGAAAGCACATTTCCGGCTCGGGGTTGAAGGCTACAGGTACTTGTAAGGCCCCTCTTCGCTTGGGCAGGCGGTGGTCAGAGCTTTGGTGGACAAGCGCCGAGAATGGAAAAACCTGAAATTAAATGCTGTCGGGACCTCAGCAGTTGTGATATCATAAAGGATTTCGGCTTCTAGGGCCCTCCCGTTTAGGGTATTGGGGATTCAGGGTGTAGAGGATCGTCTGACAGTGTGAAGCAATCCTCGGCCTTGCGTGCTCACGTTTGTCCTGTTCTTGGCCTGTTACTATGGCTGCAGCAGTACTGTTTGCGCCGGTCAAAATACATCGTCTTCCCTGTTGCCATAACACCACCACGAATCGTAGTGAGCGGTGGTCTTTTTTGCATGACTTGTGCTAATCTTGCTGTTCTTACCGAGGAAGTTCGGTGATCCAGGCAAGGATGATAGATGGAAAGGGAGTACAACCCTTGCTATAAGGTACAGTGAATTTGGGCACCTCCCCCCAACAAAAACATATTGGGGTCACAATCAGCTACTTTCCAAGTTCTCGAGTCTTTTGGTTCCTTGTTGCAGTTAAACTATAAGATTCTCAACTCCGCCACTATAAACTAACATTAGGGCCACTATGTGTATCATGTTTTATTTGTTTTTTTTCTGTTTGCCGTAAGCCTTAATCAACCCTAAACCCTAAACCCTAAACCCTAAGCCCTTGTAGAAGCCCCTGGAGAACCATTGGAAATCAGGTGGAGACAAAGCACGACAAGCTTGCGCGGACGCTGGCCTATCCTGAAAGGCCCCAGAAACCCAGGGTTTGGGAGTTCTGTTAGGGTCTGGGGGTTTGGGTTCTGGGGTTTAGGGTTTCATAGTTTAGGCAGGGCGTGAGCGTTTCATGGTTCAGGCTCTCCGGGCAGGGTCGATCTCGGTGATCGCAGCTGCCGAGAAGTTACAACGCACAGTCGAAAGAGACATATTAATATGGGAGGTGTCCGTCACATTGAACTAGATTGTAAAACGGGCCCTCAAAGCAATGGTGTTTAGGGTTTGCATTCTCTGCGATGAGAGTTGACGGCATCCTGGTCCAGGTTTTTGGGGCTGTAGGGTCTTGGGGGTTGCTCGTCCGGTGGAGGTTTATGCCTGCCCTATAAACCCCAAACTCTAAACCCTATAGGCCTTATGCCCAAGACCCTAGGCCCTAGACGCAAAAGAACCCTTAAGGGAGCCCTTGTAGGAAGCCTTATTTGGGTCCTTTGGACCCTTTGGGTCCTTTGGACCCTTGCGCTTGCAAAGCAGATCCCGGAGCGAGCTTATCCTGGTAACTTCCGGGCTTGGCATCTGCATATGCAGCAACTGTAGGATTTGGGGCTTAGGGTTTGGGGTTTAGGGTTTAGGGTTTTAGGGTTTAGGGTTTAGGGTTTTAGGGTTTAGGGTTTAGGATTTAGTTTAGGGCCGTTTGTGGCTTCGGCTCAGGTACCCCCAAAGTACCTTCTAAGCGCCCACTATACAGGTGCGTGGACGCTATGGGTCCTATGGGTATTATCAGACCTTGTCATTGCCACTGCCTGCAACTCGAGCCGAGCTCGACAAGCCGCAATGATCAGTACCTATAGTCTCCATTGTAGTTCCTTGTGTTGGTTTAACCAACTATATTAAGGATTTATAAGGTATCCCCCAAAAGGAACCACAATGGAGACTATAGGTATTCGTTACCGTAGACCATGGATGCAAATAGGGCCTTTGCAGGGCCTTTCTGAGGCTCTTTTCAAGACTCAGAGCTTGATCTGACGAAAACGATATTCGTGCGAACGGCGACGACAAGACGACTGCTGCTGCTAATTGGGTCAATCGTGTACAACGGATGGTACCTTGTTGAAGCGAGAGTTATTGTCATAAGAGCTTTCCAAATCTGGAGACAACCTCAGTCAGCTGAAGCCTGAAAACTCCAACCCCGACTTAAAAGTCCGAGGGCTCTAATCCCTACTTAGAGGGTCGGGGGAGTTAGTAAATGGATCTTTTATAAACTTATAAGTACTATAACCCCAATTAGGGTCCCTTTTAGGGTACTTATAAGTCTACTTACTACCTACTTACTAAGTCTCCCGACCCTCCAAGTAATGCGAGAACCCTAACACCCTGAAGCCCGTACACCCTAAACCATAACCACCCTGCTTCACGGAAGCACTGTAGCCTGATCCCCTGTAAACCATGCATACATGTCTAGCCAGAGGGGTCTTGGGATACAGGACACATGAGTTTGGGGCTTAGGGGTTTAGGGTTAGGAGTGATTAGGATTTAGGGGTTCGGGGTTTAGGCGGGTTTAGGGTTTAGGAGTTTGGGGTTCGAGGTTTAGGGTCTGGGAAAATGGGGTTTAGGGTTCTGGCCATGGGAGGTTGGAGCGCTTTTGAGGGGGCAGGACTCTGTAGGTCAAGAGGAGTCATTTCCAAAAGGGGGTATACGAATGATAACTTTGGGACCATAGTGTTGCGAGTCATGTTCCTGGACACCAATCCTCAGCTGCTGCGGTTTGGGATCAGGATCCTTTGAACGTCTTCCGTGATAGGAGAAAGACCAAGCCGACCTCAGCTTGCCAGTACCCTAAACCCCGAAGCCCTTGCACCCTAAACCCTATAGACCCTGAGACCCTGCAGAAAGCCTACACCGGAGTGCCTGTGGCAGGTTCAGATTCCCAACGTCACAGCTGGTTCGTTACATCTTGCCGAATACCCAAAGAGGGCTCATTCCTGAGTTCTCCCGGCCTGTCTTGGGGAAGAGATCGGGGCTTCTGGAGTTTTGGGAATACAAGAAGGTTTGGGGTTTACGTAGGGTTTAGGGTTCGGGGTTTAGGGTTGTTTTAGGGTTTGGCGTGTTTTTGTTTTCGGGTTTAGAGGCTTATGCTAACCATCCTAAACCCCAAGCCCCTAAACAGTGAACGCTGATCCCGGAGTCCACCGCACAATGCACTAACCTAACGCTCTCAAGGCGCAGATAGTATGGTTTTTGGGCCCAAAGGGCATACCATAAAAGGGTTTTGGGCGATTTTGAGCCGTAGTACTACTACTACTACTACTCTACCACTACCACTACCACTACTACTACCACTACTACTACTACTACTACGACTACTACTACTACTACTACTACTACTACTACCACTACTGATACGACTCGCTACCACTACCACTACGACGACTACTGCTACTACTACTATTGCCGCTACTGCTACGGCTACTACTATGATTAATACTACTATTGCTATTCTTCTGTATACCATGTCTGCTGGTATTATTCTTATTGTTGATACTGTTATGGTGAAGATGATGATGATCAACAATGAATAGTACTAATTCTAGCAGTACTCATCGTCACAATCACAAGCACGATCATAATTCATAGTCAACAAATCTACGCATAATCAGGTATTGTTGTCGTTATATTGACTGCTTTCTAGGTGTGTGTTTGTAGTAGGTGTTATAGCAATACTGTACAACACACGACCGTAAAGCAAAACGCAAGGCTCTGCAGCCTCTGCCACTCTAGGAGTCGGCTCAGAGCTATTAGGGGGCCAGCGCTGCAGCAAGCCGCGGCCATGACCTTTGGAGGGTTTTGAGCGGTCCCGACAAAGCCACTCGAAAAGCTCAAAGGATCCCGTGGAGCGGGGAGTTCGGGGAGTTTGGGGATAGGAGCGTGGCTTGGGCGGCTAGGACTTCAAGATGTGCGAGTTTCGAGCAGGTGTCGGACCCTGGATGGTGCCTACAGTGCACACGGGCTTCGGACGGCCTGGAAGGGGAGGTTTTCCGCACCTCTGGTGTAGAGTCAAGAAGGTGTAGCGACTAATAGCTGCAACCCAAAGTTTCCAAGGAAGCTGAACAGATCATCTGGGCAGCTCTGGCTGAGGGCTCAGGGCCTGACCCGTCCGAAGATGTGGTCTTCGGTTGAGAAACAAAACTCTAAAACCATGTAACTTGTAACTTTAGAAGGGTCCAAGCGCGAAGGACTCGAAAACTCCGAACCCTTACCTTGAGGACCCAGCGGCAGCAGCTCGGCTGCAAAGGCTGCTTGAGGACAGGCCGAAAAGGCATGTAACGAGTGACTTGCGGGGTGTTTAGGGTTCAAGGTTTTGGGGTTGGTCAATTCACTGGGCTCGACTTTCGATCTTGGCTTTTTTCGGCCCTCCGACATCCTTCTTGGAAAACTAGAGGGGCCTTGGCATCTCGTTGCCACAGGCATCGGGCTCCGATGCTCAAGTGTTCCCCTGAGCAGCCGGGGTATGGGGTTGTTCTTGCCATACGCTTCTGGGCCCATGTGGCTGCAGAGGGACACTCTGACAAAAACCGATGATGGTGGTGGTGATCAAAACCACGGGGGTGGAGCTCACATTCTCATCGGTGGCCACGAGAACTCGCAGGCCGCCAGAGTGTCGCGGGGCTGCGGCGCCTCGAGCCTCGGAATCCTCCACAACGAAAGGGGAAGCATTTGACACCCCGCAACGCAAATCTACGAGGAAACTCTAGATGTCTTCGACAAGAGAACAAGCCTGGTCTAGAATGACTTAAGGGCTAGCAAAGCACAGGTAGCCTGAAACCTGAATTCCAGGTAAGGATATGGACGAACAGAGTGGCATCAGCTCTACGGGGATCCGGCTCGAGATCGAGCCGGATGCGCGCCACCTCCGACCAAGACTAAGGAAATGCTTATACAGATCCTGTGAGGCTTGATTCGGATTACTTTATCAGTTTTGGCAGAAGCTCTGCTGGAAGATTTTGAGCTGAAGTCGAGGCTTTGATCGCACTGCTCAGCTGCATACTTATGAGGGTGCTTCCCATCTCAGATCCCCTTATACTTAGTTGCATCATATTGCAAGGTTGTTGTTGCAGTGAACTCCAGCAAGCAGGTCTCTGCTTAAGAATAACCCCAGTCTTCTTAACGTTAAGCTAAACCCTACGCTAAGTACCTCACACAAGCATGCTGCGTCAACCACATCCAACGGTGAAACTCTGCACACACCCCTCTAATTACAAATTGCCTACTTTACCAAGAAAAGCTATGCTCGACTGCTGCGCGTCTGAGAAGCCTGCGCGGAGTTGTGTGTACGACGGGAACGTAGCACAAAAAAAGGCCTCAAGCCTAGCACATGTCAGAACCTGAGCTCGGGAAGAGCAAGCGGCCTCGGCATTCATCTCTTGCACTTTGGTGCCGAGCCGCACCTGCCAAGTTGAAAGCTCCAGGGAGTCTGTTGCACTCTTTGAAGGGCCGTCGAACGCACTTTCAGGATAAGGGCCATCAGTATGATTTAATTCACAATTTCGGGCTTCTAGTCTTCTTGCCCAAGTCCCTGACATCCCCCCAAACACTGGACACAAGGCCGAAGTCGTGAGATCTTGAGGATACAGAACTGCGGTGGGTCGGATTTAAAGTGTCTTTCTGTGGTGTGTTTGTTGGACAGAAAGTTTAGAGGCTACTGAAGTTTCGCGATTTCCAAGAGCATTCAGGGATTCCTCCTTTTTAAATGCTCTAACTTTACTCAGTACTGCGCTGCTAAGCCAAGCTTCCGCGAGATCAAGGACCACGTTGGGGTCATGGTGGCATGTCAGTCTGGTTGTCTGGCCGCAAGACGGAAACGGAAAGCAACACAGGTCAGGTAGGCTTCAGGAACCCTGTTTCCACGATACAGGATTGTGGTTGGGCTTCCTATTTGTTGCAACTGCGTTGCAGAAGCGCCTCGGTGTTGCCCAACTCCTTCTCCAAGCTTTGGAGACGCTGACTCTCCATGGCGAACTGGCGACATGATCTTTCCAGGGCTTGCGAGTAAGGTGTAGACTGTTCCCGTCTTACAATTTCCGGGTTTCGGCTTCCGAGGTTTCGGAGTTAGCATGTTGTGGCGTCGGGTCTTCTGCATCATTTCGCCTCACCAGGAGGGCCTTCGGCTTCTGGTGCACTCCAACCATCCGGGCCAGAAACCCATGAAGCCAAACCAAAACGCCAATGGTGTTCCACCGGCTACTTTAACATCTCTGGCAGTGATACACTGCCCCGTTCGCGTTGTAGTATCCTCTTGCATCCCGTTGGCTTTCACTCGGCAGGCAGAAGACATAAAAAGACTTCTTGGACAGTTGTTTGCGCACTCGAAGGAATGACTAGGCGAACAAGCTTTTCCGCAAGAAGCTGGGAGCCGAAGGAACTTTTTAGCACCATTCCACCAAACCTTAAGACGAAAACCCCTCCCTTAACCCCTGAACCCCTGGTCGATGGAAGCCCAGTTTGCTTCCGACTCCGAGCCTTCCTCTCAGCCCAGTTTCCGAGCTCTTTCAGGGGCGCATCCTCGCTAGATGCAGGCTGTCCAAGTCTCTTTCGGAGTTTACTTGGAACGTTGAGGATCGTCAGGACTTTAGGATTTTAGGGTTTGGAAATCTGCCAGTTCTCGAAATTCTCGAGCTCAATTTCCTGTCACAAACCTCAGTTCTCATAGCCATCATAAGAAACAGCTTAAGAAAAAACTGAAACCTGAACCTTAAAGCAACTCTAGCGAACTCCCCAGGAGCCAGATGAGAAGGCCCTTCAGCCATGCGTTCACGGGTAGAAAACACCCTGCATGGACACGCCGCGAACACCTGAAGTAGGTGAGGCAGAACCATACAACGTGCGACGCCCCCCCCCCCAACCAACACTCCAACATTGCATAGGACTGGGGATTAGATGGTCTTTACGTCCATTCGCGAAGTATCAGTAGTGTCCCAAATTCGGGTCTTGTTGGGGTGTCCTTGCAGTACACCAACACAAAACACTGACAAAAAATGAAGAAAAAGAGGGCAGGAGCCCAAGAATTTCAGGACACAACAGGCGACAGTCCTCTACAAACCTTGAACGATGAAGGTTGCACCTTGCCCCCAAGGCGCACAACCGAAAACCTTGAACCTCAATCTTCAGATCCTACCTCCTCCAACTCACCACGAACCGTCGACAGGTGGCGCTCCAGGGCGGAGACCTCGAAGCGAAGGCGCCATTTGACCGCCAAGCAGTCGAAGGTGGTGCTTCATATGGCTTACGGCACGGAAAAGACCTCCTACGAGTATGCGAGCGCTCTGGGAAGAACGAGACATACGGCTTCGGGACACGCTGATGCTTCTTCTTTGACAGCGTCGCGCTCCGGCTCTCGTACGTGGCATCCATGCCAGAGAGGACGGAATATCGCCGCAGCGTCTGCTGCTTTCAAGTTCTCAGGAAGCTCCTCAACTCCGTGACGGATCGCATGGGCAACTCGACCTAGCTTCGGACTTCACTTTCTCCAGTTCGGCAGATCTGAGACGCTTTGGCTGGGTGGCCGCCGACTCTAGCGAAAGCAAACGCTGAGCTGGGCAGCACACTCAAGACGGCGGGTTTAGGGTTAAAGGGCTTGCGATGCAGGGTCAAAACAAAACGGGGTGGAGTGTGAGAAACTGTGGTAGGCCGACGCGTGTTATGTCGACACCTGCCGTGGCAAAAGCATCGTGTGTTGAACAGAATGACGACCGGACACTGAAAAGTAGAAGGTTGTAAAGCATGCTACCTGAAGAAACGAGAACACGAACTCTTATGTCTGGCAGCTCGAACCTCTGTGCCAAGAACAACGCCTAGCAAGCCTAAAATGCAGCAAAAGCCCTCAACGCAGTCGCCCAGGAGGCCTGGTCCTTTACGCGCATGATCTCCTCCGATTGCTCGAAAGCTGGTTAGGCTTCAGGGAAGCATTGAGATTTTCTCGAGAGCGCAATGGATGGTTGCATGCTATGGGTATTGGGCTGTTTGGGTAGAGTGGCTATCGCGATTGCACTCCCATCGAACCCAGACTCTATTTCTTTTTTTCAGTACCATCATGCTCAACAGCATTGCCCTTGCCGTTGATTCTACCGGTATCAATGCTTTCATCGTGGTTACCATGGCCGGGAGATTGGCCATGACTAGAGTTGGTGACAGTACTGTCAGCACAGATGCCTGCGATTCTCGTCGTTATTCCCACTGTGGCCATGGACACATTCCAGGCTACAATCGAGACGGTTAGCATTGTTGCCAGTCCCACAAGTACTGATGCTTCAAGAATCTTTAGGCTCACTGCCGGTCGGTCAGCCCCGGTTACCAACGTCACGATGACATTCGCAGTAGGTGCTGTTGGTTGCGCAGCACCAGTTCGGAAGGTTGGCTGTCGGCTAAGGCTAATGCAATGGGTCCAGAGATCCTTCTCTTCACAGAGGGGCTCTTCAACGCTGTTGCTGGAGCTTTAACTTTCTAGTATAGACTTCTAGGCTGGGATTCAGGATTTGCGCTTTGAGGGTTCTGGGTCGTTCAAGTTTCGGTAACGGTTCGTGGATGCATATATTACAATCTTAAACTCAGCCGTCATGGCTGGAACAGCTTGAATACGTATTCCTCTAGCCTGCCTCATTCAGACAAGCTTCAAAAATCATGCCGGATCTTTCGCCTGTTCGACCCCTGTCGTCAAGGATTATTGCTCTCTTCGCGTTTGCACTCGGCCCCTTTGCGCTCTTTCGGAGCTCACTCTGTTGCCTGAGGCCCCGGGGCGACTCTTGCACCCCGGGGGGAGGCGAGGGTGAAACCGACATGCACGGAGCTACGACCTTGAACTTGGGGGTTGCCGAGACACTTTCCAGTGCAATGAAAGCGCATCCCCTACCGCAGGTAGTCGGAAAGGACTTTCCGTGCGAGAGTGCTGCCAGGTAGTCCCTTGTTAGAATGATCACTACTGTACTATTGCTACTATATTGTTAAAGCAATACGACCCCAGAAAGATCAAAGGTGGAGTTGGAGAACTACAGCTTGAACCCGAAGGCATCTCAGAGGTTGCCCTGGGCCATGGCAGCCACCAGCGACATTGGCGAGGACAGAGTGCTTTGGCCAGCGCGCTGGAAAGGCCCCCGACCTGAGAGGCTCAGGGCTGCCCGGGCTCCAGGACCCCGAACCCTAGACCCTGGATTCAGGGCTCAGAGTTCCGAGCCGTCTGTGAGGCACCTAGTGGCTGTTCTGAGGGTAAAGGTACGTTAGTTGCAAGAAATGGCTATCTAAGGAGCTGGAGCACAACCGCAAGGCTGCGCTTCCACTCTAAAGAAGTCCAGACCGCCACTCCTGGTAAAAGACTGATGCGAGCGTTGGCAGATCACGAGCTAACGTACACCTCAGGCACCCAAGCCTCCGCTCCCCGTCCCGCAAGGTTGAGTCTTGAGAATACGGACTGCCTGGGGTGATGAGTTTTTCTCGCTAGAGACTCCCGTTGCTTGTGATCGTGGTGGCCACAGTGGTGGTCGTACCCATGCCACTAGCAACCGTCGTAACCGTCGAGTCGTCGTGGTCGTCGCGGCCGCGGGGTCGTCGTCGCAGCAGCAGCAGCAGCAGCAGCAGCAGCAGCAGCAGCAGCAGCAGCAGCAGCAGCAAGAGGCTTTTCCGAGGTATCATAAATATAATAAGACCATTTCTGAACAAGAACGACATTTCCGAGGTCTCGTTGACATATTTTTCAATTCGAATCCCAGGAGCGAAGCAGCAGAAGACTCGGCATATCCCTTGCAACATGGTCACAAAAGCAGAGGAACTTCTAGCCGCTGCCCCAAACCTAAACCCTGCTCACCCGACCCCTCAACCGACAAGTCACGTTTACACCCTAAACCCCACACACTATCCCAAACGGATCGTGCACGCTAAGCCGTCGAACCCGAAAAAGAATCAACTCCAACCACAATATAAACCCCGACCTTGACAGAGCCGTGGCCCTAAACCAGAAAGCCACGGTAAAACCAAATCCTGAAACATCGGGCCACTTCCTGTACGGCTCTGGCGCAGCGACGGTGCAGAAGCCCAAGGAGGTATCACCTGCACTTTCTGGCTTAGAGCTCGTGGTGGGGTCTGAGGGCTCTAGGATCTTGAACCCCTTTTCCCGCGTCCCCGATAACACTCGGTCCCATGTCAGGGGTCCCCTCCCCAAACCCTGGACCCTGAGCCCGAGTGAAGTCCTGAATTGGACGTTCGCGGTCCGGGAGATTGACATGGGTTCAGAAAACACCAAAGTGTCCAGCACAAGATTACAAAGGATCCTGCTTTGTAAGGTCTACATTAGTCGGAACCAGCAAGATTCTGCGTTCTAGCCCTAGCCAAAACGGTCATTGCTGCGCCCTCCAGACGCAGCCATTTCCTACATCGCAGAGCTCTGGACACTGGTGGCCTGCACTTGCGGATCTTCCTGGCGACCAGCTACATAAGGTACCTGCCGGTGCTGCGGCCGCAACATTCTGAAATGCGAAGTAGGACAGCAGCAGCAAGAGTAGCACTTGAAAGGCCAACAGGGTGTTGGCAGCAACAGCACAGTGGCAAGGGATCAGTTTCTCCAACGCCATTGCGACCCCTAAATCCTAAATCCACTAAGCAAGCACAGCACACAAACAACATCCGACGCAAGAGCCTGTGCTGGCTCGTTGCCGGGAGACCATCCATGTGCCATTTGCAGACACTAGCAGACGTCGTTGTCCTCCTCCTCGTCATCATCGTCGTCTTTGTCGTGCTCGTCGTCGTAGTGACAATAGTGGAGGGTGGCAGTAGCAGACGTTGGCTCAGGGTTTCCACCCATCTGGCTGAAGGCTTCAACCCTTGAGGCCGGAAACTTGCCGCTGCGACACAGCCCGCAAACCCTTGAAGCCATCCTGATGCCACTCGGGGGAGTTCCTTATGAGTACTCTGTGCAAGAGTGTGTGTCGTAACGTCGCCTGTGTCTGCAAGCGGTCCTGAAGACCGACAGCTCGGACTTAAACATAATTTTACCGAGCACTCACGCTGGTCCTGACTCTTCAAACTCAACCCTGAACTCCTAAGTCCCCCTGACCCAACGGCACCGGTGCAGGTGGAAGTTTTGCGGCAAATTCCCGGGCCCTCTGGCCTGAGGCGGAAGCAGGGATCAGTCCGGTGTTTCAAAGAGTGGGGCTGAGGCTTGAGGATATTGGGGTTGAGGGTTGGGGCGTTCTGCTGGTGGCGGCGGTGACTCCTTTAGTGTCCTGGTAGCCCCGAGGTGATGTCGCGCGCGCCTGGAGCTGAGCTGCGACTCCGGGCCGGGTCGAGCCCTGAGCGTGCAAGGCTTCTAGGGCTTATAGAGTTTATGACCTCCGGTTCTGGGACTTTCCTTAAGGGATTGGGCTCGATTAACATTGCTTTCGGAGGTAAGGCTTACGGCTTACGGTTTAGACATTCGCGTTGCGGGCTGGCGATTGGTTCGATTATAAGTACTCACGAGGCAAGCAACAGTGTCTCGGGAGGGGCCAATACCCGCCCACTCGTTGATTCCCGCAAGACGAATCCATTCACACCCCTTCCACCGAAATCACCCCCTTCAACTCCGCAACCCGGCCTCGGACCATGATCAGGCGGTTAAAGGCTTGGGGCTTGAATTAGGAGGCATGAAGGCCAGGGGTTTGGGATTCATGGCTCTGTGGAACACATGGGGCCCTGGTGAAGTTGGCAGGGCACCTGCTTTGGCCCAGTAGGCGTCGAAGACCACAAAGTGGTTGGCCTGGAGACGGTGGAACTCCTAATCAACCAAAATGCAGACCTGAGATGAGATTCGACATTTCGAGCTTTGCCCCAATTTTCACGCGGTCGGCTGTGCCCGGATTTGGAACAACGACAAACGGCCGCCAATCAGGCCTGGTCATGACTGGCAAAGAAACCATTCAAAATATTCACCCCCGGTTCCGAGCAGTGGAGTTTTGAAGAGCTCTGCTTGGAAGGAGCTCGCCACGGGACCTTTAAGCCGTCGTCTTTAAGAACCCTAACCCTTCCTTTCAAGATTAGCTGATTAGCTGGGAATGTCAGCCCACTTCCGATCACATGCTGTTGCACTGAAGCGTCTGGCTCTTCAGCTGACTTGGGCTCTGCAAGGCTATGCTGCTGTATGTTTGTATGTCATGGTGTATGAGGAAGTGCACACAAGTGGCGGGCCTGCGGCTGGTACGGCGCCAGGCCATAGTGTCTTCTCAGGAAGCCGATCAGCTTCGGCGAGGGCCGGTCATACGCAAGCCTTTGAAGGGAGGTTGCAAAAAAAATGGACCCTTGTGGAACGAGGATTTGCGTTTTAGCCGGGGGCGGCTGATGGTTCGAGAAACTAAAGATGGCGGAATAGTTTGCGCTCAGATGGTAGAAGCCTTCATGCTCTTGAAGTCTCATGAGAATCGATGTCTAGTTGTGACTGTTTGCCGATGGAGGATCTCCAAAACCAGAGTGTAACCACAGGATCCGACATGGCGCTCCCAAGTTCAGGGGTCTGCAGGCCTGATTCCTGAACCTAAACGTTCTCCCAGAAAGTTCCCAATTTCGAATGACAAGCCCAAGTTACCTTCCTGGGCCTGCGGGTTTCAGGATTCAAGACTCAACACAGGATACGGCGGATAAGGGTATGTAAGGTCTGTCTTTGGACAGGAACGGAACCTCTCAGTGTCATTGCTTATCCATCAGCACCGCAAGTCAATCACGTGGTCACATGGGCGGGGTTCTCCAAAGCCGGCTCTCTGTTAGGGGTCCGAAGAAGGGTAGGTGGCCTGACACTGCGGGAAATGATTGAAATCTCTTCCCGGCCTCTCTGGCGAGGTGTGCTCACCTTGAAACTACACACGGGTTTGGGATTTAGGAACCAGGACTCCATAGCTGCAGGGTCAAGTGCATTTGGCGTTTGAAAGCTTGGCATGGACAGCTTGTCAGTGCAGAGCTGCAGCACTAGCATTAATATTACTACTTACTGTTTTCTCTAGCGAAAGCTACTACTACAGCAGCAGCTCCTCCTCCTCCTCCTCCTCCTAGGGTT